AAACAAGTTCTCAGCCAAGGGCTGTTTGTTCGTATTTGGTCGTCAATGCAGACGTTACTCCCACGTTACGCCTTACGACGCCTTACTTGCTCAGATAAATAAAAATTTGATTTTATTGAAACGTACGCAAAACATAGWCATCTGATAGTTTTTTTCTGTGGTAGCCCGCTTGACGGCAAGTACTGCGAGCAGAGCTGGTTGTTTTTCTTCTCCTCCGTAGGCAGACTGGTCGGGAAAATGGAACAGAGCGCAGAAAAAACCTCTGCAAGCAGGAAAGAKGGCAAATTGCCATAGTATGGAGGAGATTTCTGTAATGATATACGGAGTTGACGTTATTCTTTGAATCAGCGGCACAGCGCGAATCTATTATAGCTAAGCCGATCAAAAAATGCTTGGAGAAGGCGCCTTGTATATCTCACAGACATAAGCTGAGAAATTGCAAGTGCTTTCCACATGCACGACATAACCATCATCATTTTCATCATCATTATCAATATCATAGCAATCATTAACATCGTAATCGTTGTCATCATCATCACCATCATTATAATCATCCCGTGCAGTATCAGCAATATAATCATCATCATCAACAGCATCATATGCATTCACCATCATCATAATATGGATCACAAGCATCATCATAACTATCGTATTCATCACCATCATCATCAATATCATCAACAGTATCGTCACTATCACCATCGTCATCAACATCTTCATGCATCATCATTATCTTCTTCAACATCATCCATACATATTTTTTAAATTTTCCCCAAAACATATTCGTGTCCCAGTAAATAACCCTAAGCCTTAAAGGGTCACTCACTCACTCATCTTTTCTCTTCTTSTAGGTACATCGAAGGACGCTCAATCCTGTCTTCAACGAGACATTTGTTTTCAAAAACATCCCTTACAGCGAAATCACCAACAGAATTTTACTCATGGAGTTGTACGACTTCGATCGATTTTCCCGCCATGACCTGATCGGAGAGGCGAGGCTTCCGCTGATAGACGTGGATTTAGCCTCCAGTATCAATGAATGGAGAGTTCTAACTCCTCCCCATTCCTCTCGCTCTGCCGCTGGGGTATGTTGACATACAATTGTTTTAAAAAAAGCGTTGCCGGTCGGAGATCTGAAATCTTAGRCAGAGTAACACGCTTCAAAATATAATATATTCACTGCCAAACCACGTATCTTCCTTTTAGATTGGAATATGAGACATGACCTTTAAGGTAGAGATTTTATTTTTCGTATTTTAGGCAGAAAACATAAGACAAAAAAGTCTGTTTAGTCTCAGATATCCCATTTCAGATCTCGCATCGGAACGACGTTTTTCGAAATTGCTGTATACGGGTCCAATGTGGGGGTTGCAGAACGACTAAACGAATCCAAAAATCTTATTATCAATCCACGATGACATGCAAACACTGCGCTTCATGTTCAATCACCCTTGTATAATTTTACAATTTACTGCAGCATATAAGATAAGCTGTGCAAAATGCTTCTCTTGCATCTATCCAGTGGAAGAGGTAACTCAGTTTTACCAATCACAGCGCGCACGCTAGATTTAACTTCTAAGTGCCATTGCGCCGTGTGAAAACCATCTAACTTTACCTGGTGTTCTATTTTTGCGCACAAGAAATTAAAATATCTTTAGTTAAAATTAATTTTTGTATTTTCTTCCAGGGCTCAAGATCTGAATTAGGAGAGATTTGCTTTTCGCTTCGCTACGTTCCCACTGCGGGAAAACTACAGATAACGATCGTAGAAGCCAAGTCCCTCAAGAGTATGGATTTATCAGGATACTCCGGTATGTATGTAGCTGAATAGCTGCTCTAGTTTGTTTTAACTTCCATAGTTGAAGCCACTTTGGAAAGCGCAATTCTCGTTAGGCGGACACAAAATCGTCTTCCCATGCTTGTAGTCGGTATGCAAATTAGACGAAAGGAAATATATTGATCGAATTATTCAAAGGTTAAAAATTCCAAACTAACTTTCCTTTACAAAATCAAAAAGCCAGTTCTTGAATATCAAGGGTAAATTTTAAATCTTAGTATAGTAGTTTTCGATTATTATTATTATCATTATTTTYAAAATTGTTTTTTTACTGATCCCAGCCAAAAATTTTGATCGACGGCCTTCACGGAAACGGCCAGCTCGCAACTACTGATCGAGTTCTCGTAATATTGAAAACTTGAATAATGCAGTATCTTTAAGCATTTTTTTTCATGATTAAAGGATCATGAAATCTTTAAACACGATCTGAAATACGCATGCGCCACAATTTGTATTTTTACCCCAAGCTTTCGTGTGAAAATAAATGTCGCGGCTAGTCCCACATGGAAAGGAGTGAGTGTGCGTTCAAAGCCATCAGCGTCACAATCAGAAGTTTGAGTTTACTGGTCATAGCCGAAGGGGTTAATCATCTACGGTCTAGGGGCCGACTAACCTCTCCCTTAAGCTTCGGCCGAGCTTCCTGATCAGTCTGTAATTCTTCGGATAGCGGTGTCGGGGTCGAAATCTCCGGCGTAGCCGTAAATGCTTCGCGCTGCCATACGACGGTTCAGCACTAGATGTCTGGAAGTATGGTCCTGAATTCATAAATCAAGAAAGAAAAAATATCAAAACCATCTATCTATTTTAGAGAGGACAAGAAGAAGAATTGTTTGTGCGCATCTTTTTTGCGCACGTTTGTTTTTCAAGGCCAAGCTTCGTCACGCTGGTTGGGAATTTTAATTGGCTAAATCTCGAAAACACGAGAAACGCATTTTCCAGCGAAAATCCTTAAGCCCGTATCGACCGCTCCTCGTCCCGATTATCGCTTAAATGATGGCAGTTATTTACTCCTTTCTTACAGATCCATATGTGAAGATCGCACTGGTACAAGAAGGTCGCAAGATTAAAAAGAAAAAGACGACGGTAAAAAAGCGGACGCTCGATCCCTACTTCAACGAAACCTTCACTTTCCAAGTCCCCTTCGAAAAGATCGAACAATCCTCTCTCATTATCTCAGTACTGGACTACGACCGTGTGGGAAGAAGCGAAATGATTGGGAAATGTGTTGTTGGGGAGCTTTCAAGTGGAGCTGATTTAAGACATTGGGTGGATATGCTGGGATCTCCGAGAAGAGCAGTGACACAGTGGCACACGTTGCACAATTAACGTATCCTGATGCAATTATTAACCCCTAAGAATCTTTTGCATGTATAAATGTTAGGGTTTTGTTTTCAAAGTTTATTATGCAAGATAGACCCGTTAAGTTTGGGGGCAATGATTTTCCATTTTAGGCCACTTGCGATGGACTCAGCCTTTTCTGGGATGGACTCGTAAGGTGTCCAAAAACAAAACATGTAAGGGATGGCTTGGTATAACACAGGGGTGGTAGGGTYTAGTATGGTATGGTATAACATGATGTAGCATGGCATAACACGGCCTGGCAGGATATGGTAGTAATGCTATAGTGCAGGTATTCTTGGAGTGCATCCACATGACCAAAAATCCTTAAAGATATAAATAACAATGAAACAGCCGCCATGTTGGTTGATCTAACAAGAGAAGCTAATGAGGAATGCTTTGTTATCGTCAACCAACATGGTGAAAAAGGCTCAAGCATATCTAATGCGATAAATACAGTATTTCCGAGAGGTTTAAGATGGAAAATCATAGCATCCAATTTAATGAATGTATAATTTGGGTTTTAATTTTTAATGGTTTTTTACTAATGTATTTGATTTTTTATATTATATTTATGATATGTAATTAGCAATATTACATGTTTTCTTTGCTGGTCCAAAATTTTAAAAAAGCATTTGCTCCCTAAAAAAGGGGCAAAAGGGCTTCAAAAGGGAGTAGTAATGTGAGAAGTATGGTATGTTCTTTTATGAGGGTGGGAGGGGAGGGAGGGGGTTAAAAGTAATGTAGCTATTAAATATTTTAAGTATTAATAATTATTATTAATAATTATTATGAGTCTGCTCCTAAGGTTTGCTCAAACTTCACTTTTCAGTTCGTTGGTATTTCCTGTCCCACAATAATCTGTTAAGCACCACTACAGAGAGCCCTCTGCTATGACAGTAAATATGTGTGTCTGAAAAAACAAAACTCTTTTTGACATTGCTATTAAACTTAATATGTAGCATTCTTTGCTTATAGAAGAAGTCTATTTGTTGGATACACAAATATCTGCTGTTATATGCTGACATAATAGTCTTGCCTGGGGTCCCTGTACCTTATTTGGCAAGGATAACTATAAGCATGAAGATGTTATTCCTTGTCGCCATAGCAACTTGGCTTTTTTCTAAATAAGTAAAAAAGGTACAAAACAATGTACAGTATTAATACTATACTAAATCAAATTAATAAGATTAATAAGATTGATGGAATGTCGCTAGACTAGATGGGGTGTACTTCCAGATATTGATATATGTTTAAGGATATCTGGACTAACAGGTCATATGATTTCATGTTTCTGTGATTTAAGCAACAGCTATATACAGATAATCCACCTTTTCCTGCATTCTAGCTTCTGTCAAACAAATTTGAAACCATTTCAGTTAGCATTTTTTATACCAAGGCCAAAATAACTACAATGTTTTACAGTTGTTGTCATAGAAACATGAAAATACTAGGAATAATTCTAGCAAATGTAGGTGGCATAGCGGCACTTTGGGTGCCCAATCCCCTCTGTTTCCTTCTAAACTCCCTCACACAGGCTATAGCAAGTGAAAAGTATGCTTTCACACTTCATAAAAATGAAGTGAACATATTGTGGGTTTCAGCTAGCTTGCTTTAATTCCAACATTGCAGGACCAGTGGTTGTATGAAGGATGGATAGCACTATTTGATGGATGAATCCTATCCAATAATTAAATTTATTGGATAAGCATATCAACTTATCCATCAAATAAGTATTTAACCATCAGATAGTGCTATCCACTCTTCTAACATACAAGCCTAGGCCTATAGCTTGCACCATCGCAAGCATGAATAACACAAATGTAAGCAACTAATACCCACAAGAAAGATAACTAAATATCGTAGTCAAAAGATTTAATGAATCTTATATTAGATGAATATAACAAGAACTTTATGAGTATAAGATGTTTAAATACATATCGTTGACGAGTTAACRATATGCTTGGTCATAAAAATAATGGCAAGTACCTGTGAAAAAATTATAACGCTGCCCATGCTTTAGAAAACATAAATATTATAATATGTAAGTCAGGCTCATAACTAGATTAGAGTTTGAAGATAAAGGTTTATTATGTAGTCTTGATATCAATTACAATTACTAACAAGTATGGACAGATAAATGACTATCAATGATCAAAGCTAGGCTTGACAGGTTCGATAATGGCGAACCTAGCTATCACTCAGTAGTGCATTTCACATTAGCCTTTAAAAACTAATGGAGGTATGGACGGTGCCATCATAAAAGGCTGATTATTGCCATTTGTCAAACAATTGTTGGCCAATTAACTGCCATTTGTAGACCAACTGTCAGCCGATCAACGGCATTTTGTTGATTGACTTTCAGCTGAAAAAGATGAAAGCCTGCCAGTTTTTGCTTGATTATAAACTATCTGATCATTAAAGTTGAATTTCATTTTTTTACCCTGCATAAATACTTAGGCAGCGCACAGTGTTATTGCTGGTCATGAAACCAGATATGACATTGAAAGACCTTTGACAAATTGTAAAATCACTAGGTAAGTGTGTCATAAGTACACATTTGTCACAAAATCACTAAATTAAATAAAAATGTTTTGTATCCTGGGATAAGGATAGCTGTACTCTTATTTGCATTGTTCACTTTTGTGTCTATTTGACTATGACGTATTTTCAAAGAGTGAATTTATTTGGTCCATGAAAAATATAAAAGGATACTATGGGTAAGCATAACACACAGTGTATAGTAGACAGCTAAAATTCTATTATCTTCTTTTGCTTTATTGGTTTCTTATTATCATACGACAATAATTTATAAAAATTGTGATGCACTTTTTTCTCACCATTTGTCCAATATAACTTCTCTATTTTATGGAAGATCAAAGTACTGATACTAAAAATGGTGTTTCAAAGTTGCTGGATTACATTGATAGTCCTCCTTCAAAAATAATAAAATAAAATAAGATGAAATGAGATGAAATAAGATGAAATGAAATGAAATGAGATGAAATGAAATGAGATGAGATGAAATGAAATGAGATGAAATGAAATGAAATGAAATGAAAATTAAAATTAAAATGAAATAAAATAATGTTCCCTTGGCTTAAGGTTTGAAGGTAGGTTCATTTTAGAAAAAGAATATATTCAGCATACAAAAACTTTTCTTAGAATTTTTTTATCTGGAAGCAAGATTGGGTTTGAACCTCCAAGGCTCATTTTGTTCTTAAAAACTAAAGTTAAAACAATAAAACAAATTTATTATATATGTTAAAAATGTGGGGGATGCAAGAGAACCACCTGACAGTTGAACAGAGCATCAGTAACCTAGTCTCCTACTTAGGGGAGTGAGGTTGCGTGACRACACTAATAGCAGCTGCGTAGGAGACTAATCAATAACCTAGATAAATAATGCAGGTGTTGCCATCTGCTATAAAGTGTATGTTTGTAACTGTGATTGAAAACTTCAGACATACCTGTCACTTCAATAGAGGCTCCAGTAATGTAGCTGCTGAGGTCTGAGGCCAGAAAATTGACCACCTCTGCTATTTCTGAAAAGATGAGACATTTTCACAGTAGCTATAGTGTGAAGTCATTAAACCCGTAAAATAGATGTTAGACTAATACACATTAGAATGAATGTCTTCTTTTTTGTCTACTTGACTATTACACGTTGACTAGTATTTTTTATTTCATGGGTTAAATGCCTTCTCTCTTATTAATATTATAACATGAATGGATTTTCCGTTGTGATAACAAATCGGAAATGATTAAGTACATGTATATACCTGATGGTTGTCCGATACGACTCAAGGGGACCATTTTTACTATCTAGTATAGGAAGTGAATAAAAAAACGAAAATGAATAAGCAGATGGGAATCTTAAAAAAAAAAGAAAAGAGATGGTTTTGCCACACAACCAAGGGGGATTTCTTGTTTCACCAACTAGTTTGGAATAGGAAGTGAATGAAAAAATGGATGGATGGATGGATGGAAAATGGAAAGGATAGTTGTATGATTGGTTGGGTAGACAGGTAGGTATATCCATATATCGACTATGAATGTGTGTCATGCTTTGTTTTAATTTCCTGTGGCGTCTCTTACTTTTTGAGTAATTTGTTCTGGGATTTTCTCAGTCATGGGAGAATGAATGAATCCAGGAAGAACGGCATTACACCTGATACCAAACCTGGAAAAAACAACACCAACATATTTAAGCAGAGACTTCTTCATTCAACATTCCCATTATACATTGCAGTTTTGGGGGATARCCGCACCTATTATATGCTGTGTAAGTCTGATTAGAAGATGTTGCAAATGCATCTTATTCTATTAAAAGTTGCAAAAAAAACAGTCAGAAACAACAAGAAAGAATTTTATATCCTGAATTACAACTGCCAATTCTGACTGTCATCATAATTATAATCTCAGGTTACTGTCTTATTGCCTCAAAAACACCCTAAGAGGTACTGGCTTACTCTCTGGTAGTCCTTTTAGATTTGTGATATCCTAAGAGGTACAGTACCAAATTGCAGATTTAGAACTCTAATAGATACAACAAGCATCCCCTCCCTTATTCAATTGGAGCCCCCCCCCCCCCCCGCTCCCCGGGATAACAGCCATACATCTGCAAACATTATTATCAACAACTTGGTTGATACAAAACCTTGCCAGCTCAAGAGCACATGTTCTTGTCAAGCCTTCAACCCCTGCCTTTGAAGCTGTATAGTTTGCTTGACCTATGTTGCCTGTCTGGAGGGAATAAGAAATAATATGTTCAAAACTAAAAACAATTGATTACCAGGGGCATACAAGAGGAGTGACTGCTGTCCCTAAAATCAAAAACTTTCCTTTTTTCCTATTTTGTTTAAGTAAATGTGATTTTCGTTGGCAATTTTTGCACCAAAACATGGGTGCCCACCCCTTTAGCTCTGGTACTTTTGCTATGCCACTCTTGAATGGTACAGCTGCCTCCTTCAARAACCATCTCTATAAGCTTTAGATTACAATATATACCCAAAAGTTCATTGTTATAGTCAAAGGTCATTGTGCCCCTAATGGTTTATTTTTCACTGATTTCATCTCTTACCTTTCCGACAATACTAGCAATGTTGATTATGGAACCATTGCTTATCTTGCTTTCAACCATTGCTTTGGATGCAAATTGTGACATCAAGAATGTACCCTGCGRAAAAAAAGTAAAAGATCATAAAAAATTCTCATGGTAAAAAGTGCTATGCAATGTCAATTCCAAGATATGCATTGCTTGTCACACAAAAAGGTTCTGACAATAATGCTCTGTAATTTGTGACCAGAGAAAAGAATAAATTTAATATAGCCCACAACCTCATGTACAAACTGAAACCTTTGTGTGTGACAAGCAATAAAGCATATATTGAAAGTGGGTTATTACTTTGAGGTTGACATCAATAACTTCATCAAAAGCCTCTTCATTCATCTTCAAGAAGAAAGCATCTCTTGTGATTCCTGCAGAATTAACCAAGATACAAGGTGGTCTCTGATGATCTTCTTGCACTTTCAAGATCAATTTATTAACTTGAAGTGATGAGACTACGTCAGTGGCATGGTAAGAATGCAGCTGATTGCCATCATTTTTTGAAAGGCTGTTGCCAGTTTCCTTGGCACCTTCAATATTTCTATCTACAACTGCTACTGATGCACCGGCTTTGGCTAGTGTCTGGCATATGGCTCTTCCTATCCCACTAGCACCACCTGTAAACAAACCCGAAGAAATAAATATTGGGCCACCATTATCAGGTGTTTATCATCATCATCACTATCATCATCACCATCACCACTACCACCACCACCACCACCACCACCACCATCATCATCATCATCCCCACTATCATCACCACCATCATCACCATCACCTCTATCATCACCACCACCTCTATCATAAGTGCTTCGAGTCATGGGAAGCATTATATAAAAACATATTTATTAGTATTATTATTATTATCATCACCACCCTCATCATCATCACCACCACTATCATCACCATCATCAGTCATCATCATCACTGATAATCACAACCATAATCATCACCATCAGCATTTAATAGCACACTTGGTATTGACAACCATTATTATTGTGATGTTAATTTGCCAACTTCATCACAATAGTTCTTGACAATTTGCTTTGATTCATCGATCAGCTAATCGATATCTGGTTGGCAAGATAAACACAATAGCTTACGTCACAGCAACTAGCTTCTTTATACAGCTTAGTTTTAAGGGCCAAGTACTAGTAAAATCACACTCCTACTACTACCAGAGCTTAGATTTATTGTTTCTTACCTGTTACAAGAGCTAAGCGGCCTGAAAGTAAGAGACCATTCGCAGCCGCCATGTTGAAAACACATACCACAGGCAACCCAGTATAGAAACATTGTTAAACAGGGAGCCCAAGCGCGGTTTTTGATTGGCTTCCTTTTGTTTAGCTTCCAGTCCCCAAGAATCTGCACGTGGGAATCAAAATGGCTGATCTTCTTCACAAAAATTTACCAGCTGATAGAAGTTCTACTTTCTTCGCTATGTTTTAACTTTTCAGCTTTGAATACTGTTAATAATGTTAACTTCTGCTGGAGCTCGTACTTTAAGGGGTATTGTGAGAGTTAGTCATGGCTTTCTGCAAAGAAGGAGGCCGCTTTTTTGCAGGAATGATAAAGCTTTTCTTCGTACTTCTTCACTTGGACACACCACTTCTAGTATTTTCGTTAAAGACCTTTGCACTAGGTTAGAAGTAGGAAGCACAAGAAAGCTGTCTAATGGCAATAACACTGAAGATGTAGAGTTAGCAAGGTGTGTTGAAACACGACAAGAGACTCTTTGTGAAGGAAATAATGAAAAAATCGCCGAAGATAGTCAAAACAGACAGGGGGAAAATCTTTTTTCGGGAGAAAAAAAGTCTTATTTTTGTAGCAGCAACATTTGTAGCAATGAAACGCCAAGCAATAGTAATTCAGACTCCAAAAAAGACTTAGATTTTGCAAAAAACATAGACAATATAAGTGAAAATCAGTACCCTATTTCAGACTCACCTAGATTCCAGCTTCCAGTTGATTGGAAGCAAAGCAAAGAAACATCTCCAGGTATCAAATTTCAAGGTGATATATATGTCATAAAGAACTATAAAGACGAGATTGAACACAAGGAGATTTTAGAGCAATTCCTTGATGAGGATGTTTTAGGTTTTGACACAGAGCATTGTCCTGTCGAGCATCAAGTTTGTGTTGTTCAACTTGCTTCTCAAGATAAGGCAGTTCTTTGGCAATGTATGAACTTCAAGAGAAAAATTTCTCCTTATTTGAAGGAAATATTGACAGGAAAAGTGGCTAAGGTGAGTGTATCTTGGCCCTTATCACAGGGAACACAGAGAGGGAGGGATTGTAGGTCAGGTGAGGCAAAACCCCCAGCATGCTTTCTTTGCTGGACCATTATCACTAGACCTCATTTAAGGGTTCTCTGCAGTTACCCTATGAATTACTGACTCTTTTCACTGCTACGCAATGATCGAGATACTCGGTCACAACAGGTAAATGGGGCAATACACTGCTGCCAGTCAGAGAATATAAAAGTACCAACCAATTTATTTGATTGACAGAAGTGTATTGCCAATTTCCCTGTCAGGACTGTTCAGCGTGATAAGAGTGGTAAGCTTAGATCATTAATCATATAGTGCAAACTATTTATACATGTCTGTTGCTATGGTAACTTCAGGTTGGCCATGCCTGCGTAGATGATGCCATCATGATATCCAATCAGTTTAATATAGAGCCTGTAAACTTGATTGACACATACTGTTGGGCGAGAGACCTGCGTTGTTCACATAAATCACTTCAAGGAGTGTGCGCAATATTCCTTAATGAATTCCTCTCCAAGAAACACCAACGATCTGACTGGAAAAAAGCTATTTTGAGTCCAGGACAGATCCGCTATGCTGCCACTGATGCGTGGGTATCACTGAGAGTGTACCAGGAGATGAAAAGGTAGGACTCTTGAGAATGGACCTCTCTTTCCACAAAAAATATCTAAACCTTTCATTTAGGAATCAAGGGTTGTGTAGCATGTGTGCACTTGTCTCTAACCTCTGGGGTCTTGGGCTTGATTCTTGTACTCAGCTTCACATGTGAGTAGAGTTTGTAAGGTCTCTCCCTTGATTCGAGGGTTTTTCTCCTGGGTGTAAATTGGGTTTGATTCCTGGACTCAGCATCACATGTGAGTAGAGTTTGTTAGGTCTCTCCCTTGATTCGAGGGTTTTTCTCCTGGGTCTAAATTGGGTTTGATTTCTGGACTTAGCATCACATGTGAGTAGAGTTTGTTAGATCTCTCCCTTGATTCGAGGGTTTTTCTCCTGGGTCTAAATATTGGGTTTGATTCCTGGACTCAGCATCACAAGTGAGTAGAGTTTGTTCACGATTGAACCCATTTCCCTCACATTAGTCCATCCCTTGTTAAAAAGTCTTCATTGAACTTGTGTTGGAATTTTATAATCAAGTTTTTTTTTTGCTTTTCTTGTGCTTAGACATGGCGAAGAGCTAGGAGTGACTTTAACCCCAATCTATGAAAACCTACAAAAGTGGCAGGCTGAAGTTAAAGATAACCAACGGCGAAGACGGAAACGGCGTAGAGAGCGAATAAAAGAACGAAAGCAAGAATTGTTATCTCAGATTGAAAGTGTGAAACAGAAACAGAATGAAGAAAACAGCAAGGAAAATGAGAATAATGAAGCCGCAATCAAACAGGCTTCGAATCCTGAGGAACTAAATAAAAGGAATAATATTGAGAATACAGCTCTAGAGCCTGAATGCGAGGGTAAGGTCAGTATTGCAAACAAGGTAGGCAGTAGTCAAACTGATAATATACATTCTGAACGAGACGAACAATTAAGTGATGACGTAAGGGACAGCAATGGCAAACAAAGCAAAGGAAGTAAAAGACGATTGAATAAATTTTTGGCAAAATTTCACCCTTTAGAATGAAAACAGTTGAACACCATCCATTTTGTATTATCTGTTTTTACGACAACAATATAAAAAAAAAAAGGTTCAGGAATTTGGTACTTTAGGAAAAAATGTGGAAGCATCATTGCAATATTGTGACAAAATTGTTCTCTGTCAGGGACTGTAAAAAGGGAGGCAAAGGGGGCACTTCATGCCATTGTCTTGATTCAACAATAGGTCAACAGATTCCTATGATTGCTAAATCTCTAGGTGGTCAAAAAATATGATTTTTTCTTTAGTACTAATGTGCTGATTGAGACAAGTTTACGACTAAGAGAATATCAGAAAAATTGTTCTGTACCTTTACAAACTGTAATTGATAGCAGTGAAAAAGTGCTAAAGACCTTACTTATAAATTCTAACCCTCGACTTGGGAATATCGTCTTCATCAGATAGTGTTTCATCTAGTGAGCCAGTATTTACAGATATAATAGAAAGAAAACTTTCAATCAAATCTTTATTTAGTTAAAGAGTTTTGATAAATAAAAATAAATACTAATTTATATTACATTTTTCTCTTTTTTGTTTCGACTCTAATTTCGATTATTTACAGTTAGCTCTTAATTGCTAAACATTTTTAACTGTTTCGCTCGGAATGCTCATCAGCTGAATCACAAGTTTTCAATAGGATTCTTTCTGGTTGACAGCACGTGGTAGCCAGTTTTTGAACACCATTCGGAGAAGATAATGAGATTCAAAAACTTTAATTTTATCAGCGTTCGTAACCCAGCAGTTGTTGGTATTCAATCATTCCCAAGAGAATGGAGTAACACAAGACACGGCAGCCATGTTGGATGATAAAACAAAAGAGACTAATGGCTAATCTTTTGTTAAATTCATCCAACATGGTGGCTGTGAAAACCGTCAATTCAGATTCACCATTTTCCATACATCAGTTCACTGGTCAAACATAAAGCATTCATAAAGCATTCATTTTGACTCCGACGAAGGACTAACGTCCGAAACGTCAGTTACTATTTTCACTACGGTGTATAACTTATCATTCTACGATAACTGTCATAAAGCATTCAGTCGAGGTTGCAAGGTTCAAATTTGAATAATCCTTTGAAAGTACCTTGGCGCCTTGCTTGAGCGCTTTGTGTTTGACCAGTGAACCAAGGTATGGAAAAAAGGTGAATTCTGTTCAGATTCTGTATGTATAACTAATGAGCCTGTAGTTAGAGAAGGTGACAAGGGATTCGTAAAGAGTACTTTTTCAAGTCTTTTTAGCTGCAGGTTTTTTCTTTGCTGCTCTAAACCCCTTCTTTTGCTTCCCAAACCCAATCGGCAGCTCCCAAACCTGCCTGGGCACACGAACATAATAGCTAAACGTATGAGCCTTAGTAATTTTCTGATCCTGACGAACAGATTTCAAATGGCTCATCCTATCAATGTTGTCTTCTCGTCGCTTCAGTAGCATTGTTTTGCGTCGGGCCGCTTCTTGGGCGATGCGCATGCGTGCAACAGCCTCCAATCGTTTGGCCATTTCTAGTCGTTTCTTCTGTTGCTGGACTTTTTTCTCTTCTTCTTCTTCCAGACGTCTTCGTTGTTCTTCGATGGCGCGTCGTTCTTCCTCTTCTTGGCGCATCCTTTCCTCTTCTTGCTCTCTTAGTTTTCGTTCCTGTTTGAAACATTCCCAAAAGATAAACTTTTTTATAACAGTAAACGTTAAATCTGTTTAAAATATACTTTAACTAGACGCTTTCAGAGCGCGTACTCGGCCTTCAAAGGGCTTGTTCTAGGCTCTACTGTGTGCTTCTCTGTTATCATGAGCCTCAACGGCAAACCTAGACACTCGGTCATTTCACAGAAAGCCCGAATGAATAGGGTCTAGCTTTAGAAGGCAGGATCTAGCTGCCCTTATCCTAGCAACAGATAGAGGCACACGGGGTAGCGGCAGTCAGTGATAGCGATAGCGCTAGGGTTTTTCAATCTGAATTCTTGGTCCAAATTTGAACTCAACATATTTTTTTGGAAAGTGTTTTGGGAGTATTTTGGCAATCCTTGCCACCAAGAATAAGGTGAATCCTGGGATTTCTAAAGGTTTGAAAAAGCATTTTTGGGCCTTCTTTGCTTAACATGGGGTAATTTATGCATTAAAGTGGAGTTTAACAGGCTGTGAAACGTCACTGCACGCGTCATCACCAAGGCCCGAATTTGTCAATATCCGCTGAACAAATCACAGGGCGCGAATAATTTCTTATCCAATCAATATGCTTGAAGACGACACGCCTCACCGTCACGGCACGAATTTGTCAATATCCCTGACTCGTCCCCAGTCGTCTCTCACTTGTTTTTCACCGAAGCGCGCAAAAGGTCAAGCGAAGGTAAGAAAGAAGAGCCTTTGCGCGCGCTCTTAAAATAAGAGACGACTGGGGAAGAGTCAGTCAATATCCGTTAAACAAATCACAGGCGAGAAATACTCGAACACAGCACCATACGGTCACGGTACAACGTCAAAACTTGCTCAAATGGGTCCTTGTTCTAGTCGCGTCGTACTTACCCTGGCTTCAGCAATGCGTCTCATTTGTTCTTTATATTCTCGTTCTTCCTGCAGTCTTGCGAGTTCTTCCTCGGCCTCTCGTATCTGTTCTTCTTCAAGTCTTCTCTGCTCCTCTTCTTCTTGTTCGGTGCGCAGCCTCTCTTCTTCTAGTCTTCTTTCTTCTTCCAGTCGTTCGAGTTCCTCCTGAATACAAAATCCGTATAAAAATAGCTTAGTTCCCTTTTATGTTATTTTTAAGAAGAGATAACTAGCTAAAAACTAGTGTGAGCTGCGTCGGTGTTTCTAGTGAAACAGTAATGATAAAAAAGCAAATTATACACCGTGAAAAGATGGAAAAACTTACTGACGTTTCGGATGCTAGTCCTTCGTACTCCGTCCGAAACGTCAGCAAGTTTTTTCATCTTTTCACGGTGTATAATTTACCTTTTTATCATTACTGACATATTATTTTTATTTTAGTTTTTAAAAGAACAGTTATTAATAGAGCAGGGCCTTACGGGTCTGAGTCCTTTAGCACGACGTTCTTGCTAGGTACCGCAAACCTCGAGCTGCAGTTTGATGTCAGGCGTTTTTGGTCAAACTTTCAACATTTAGCAAAGGCGTCATAGCGAAGGTTGTTGCTGGAAGAGCCGCCATATTGAATGCCGAGTGTTTCTCCGTGTTTGCGGGCGTGTTTCTGAGCCTGATCCCTAGCAGTTAGTGGTTTATAGCGATAAACCTGATGCTAAAGGTCTCCATTTTTTATTAAACCGGTCTTTTTCTTTTCTCCCCCCCCCCCCCCCCCCCCCCCCCCCCCCCCCCCC